CGCCGCAAGGGCCCCCCGCCGGGGGGGGTGAAACCCCGACGCGGGAGGGCCATCCGCGCGCCACTTCTGCGTGCCGCTGCCATGGGACACACTGGGCTCGACGCCGCGCTCAGCTCCCCGGCACCCGTGCTGCAGAGACACCCTTCCACGCAGCTCCCGACACCCACCGCGTGGGCCTTTCCACCCCCACGTCCCTGCCCTCAGCCAGCAACCCACCTCTCTCTTCAGGAAGCAGGGGGCTTCGCGATGCAGGAAGACACCCCCAAGCGTGCCGTGGGCCCAGCTCCCCTCCAGCACAGGAGCAACGAGGACCCCCACCTCCTGCAGCCTCGCCAGCCGGACCCCAACACCACTGCAGCGGGGATGCGGGCTCTACTGCACGTCCTGACCCCACCGAGCCATTTAGCACCTCTGGTTTCCTGATACAGAAATAATCCAAAACCTATCTCCATCAATCAGGTTTTAATTAGCTCGTTACCGAGGGCAGGGTCTCCCTTTCCACCCAGATTCACCCTCCTGAGCAGCCAGCGCTCTCTCAAGCTCCCAGGCTCATTGCTCGTTAGCAGAACGACTTTTGAGTTACCGCACTGGCCGCAGGGCACCTGGCCCCCGCCGCTGTCCCAGGCCTCACCCTGACCTTCTGGACATCGTCCCTTGTTTTACCGGGGTAAAACGTGCTGGAACTGTCGTCATGATCCCTCAGCACCTTTGCTGGGCTTTTTCGGCAGCTGAACGGAGCTGGTTTAGGCAGGGACCCTTCTGCGTGTTCCCTCGCGTGTTCGTGGGCAGACGTGTAGCATCACCCTCACGGCAGAGCGAGGGTGCGCGGAAGGTGGACTGATTTCCCCGGGGCCGTGCGCGAGCCTCCCGCCGAGCTGAGGCCGGGACCCAGGTCTGCCAGCTCTCAGCCAAACGCTGCTGTTTGCGCCTGCCCCGGGAAACGGGGCTGAACGGGCGCAGCGAACGCGTGACCTCGTTGCAACTTCCCCCAAGGCTTCAAGCAAGGAGAATTAAAACCTTTT